CGGTTACATTTCATTATAAAGTGTACTTTTTTAGAATAAGGCATGCCACCAAGCGATAATTTTCAAAACATCTTACCTATCAATTATCTTTGAATACGCTCACAGATTTAACTTGGATTTTTAAGGTATCATTTTGAGATAAAAACAAGTGTGGAATAAACAACTTTATCTGCAATAGTAGTGTATACCATTCGCAACCTTAAAATATTCATTTTAGAAACTGGAAATTTTCATTATTTAATGAGCACTAAATCTCTTTAGTAAAATACAAAGACAAAACAATTGCTATGATCAATAGAATAATTCATCAGAAGCAGTGTGTGTTCAATTTCATCTGAAGAAGTGGGACTCTTCCTCCTCCATACTTTCAAACCTAGGCCGGCCTCTGCTATTGGAAATTCTTCTTTGGGGCAAACCATTTCCCTGAGTAGGTTGTTCCGAGACGTTCGGTTGTTTGGTTTGTGTAGATAAAGTGGATTTAATGGAATCGACAGCTTTCGCCTCTTTAGAATGCTCAATCGTTTCGCCCGGCCAAATGGATGCCTGTGAGATCTCATCAGACTGCTGATCTGTGACTCTGTCGAAGCGTCGGTTTGACGATTCCGACAGGAAATAAGGGGGGCGTACAAACTCACTTTCATCGTGCATGTGGAAACCATCCTCATCTATGTCCTCCTCGATAGATAATGTGATGGAAGAGCCTGGGTTTCTGCCGTCTTCGAACACTTCCTGCCATATGAAATCATCGTCCATGTCAACTGCTGCAGCTAAGCTCCTTATTGGCAAATTGCCAGGACTTGTAGGGATATTAAAAAATGAATTTTCACTTATGCCAGAGGCGTTTGTATGAATAGATGGTGAACTCGAAGCAGTTGTACTGATTTGGGGACTCAAAGAGATAGTTGCAGTATACGTTTCGGACCTTGTGGATGCGGGAGTCGCTGCCATTGGAATGGCATGCATGGTCGCCGTGTGGTCAGTCCGGCGAGTCAGTAGGCAGGCGAAGGCTAATTGGTCGTCACAGTCACGAGCCTGCCAAACAGCCTCCGAGAAGTCAATTGCAAGACAGTATTCCCGACTCTCCTGGAGTTGGGCAATCTGAGTCTGTGGTAGACCAAGTATGCTGGCAGACGCGCGACGACCGTCAGTCCAGGTGAGAATCAGCTTGATCTCGTGGCTATCCCGTTTGCGGTTGTTCACTCGGTACTTGATCAATTTGCCGCCCGTCCAGAACGAGCCTTTGGGGACAGGTTTCATGGCGTTCAAAATGGTGGCGATCTGACGCCACGAAGTAGGCCGTCGAAGGTTAAAAGGAAGGATATACAGTTATTATAGTCTGCATTTTTTATTTGCATATTTGTAGCACGTGAAATTATTCTCCTTACCACCCCAAAAAGTAATAAAGCGTTTAAGTATCGTTGTGATCTCATCGTCTTCCAGATTCCAGTATACTATTTATGCCAATGGATATGCTGATAATAGGTCACAAATTTGTTTTAAACATGAGAAACACCAATTTACCTACCACACGAATTGTGTCACTTGCATTCTACTGAATCGCCTTATATACAGCCTTAATTTCCAAATTTTACCAGTTTTGGTTTCAAGTAAGTACATGTTTTCGGGTTGCCTTGTTGGCATCAGCAGCTGGAGGGCATCCCTGATTTATGGGAGTCACCCTGCCATTGCTTACCGTTTCGAGGCTAAAGAAGATGTGGATGTGCCTCTTTGAGTTCATTTACCCTCAAATGCCTTGCAACCTTGTCGTAAATAAATTTGCAATTGTCAGTCTAGTTGTCCTTCAGATATGATTAAATATGTTTATAAAGGTAAAAAAACAAATACTATTTAATTGACGTGATATTAGAACCAGCAACATGTGGACAATATGAGGCCATAAGAAATTTCCGATAAAGTAAAACGTATATAATGACGTCATTTGTATGCATCTATTTTTTGTGTATTAAAAGCATTATACTACTAGTGCTTATTTGTATTATGGCGTATTATCGTAAGCACAACTTAGCATAGCTTCCCGCAATGAGGACCCCCTAAAATTGCATGTTTATAGCATAAACCAATTAAAATCATAAGTTAAATTTGGGTTTATCGAAAAGAAGTATATACACAATTGTGGCTTACATGTTTCGTCGAGCCAATAGAAAGGAGGTGGCCGGTATTAAAGTCTATATTTTGCAGGTTAGGTAGGAACTGATTGCGTAAACTCTCTAATAGAAGTCTCAGTGGATTGAGAACAACCGGCATTTCAATATGGCTGGTCGGCAATTTCTGGCATGCTTTTTCTGCCTCCTGCTGATTAAGGCCCCAGCCACTCCCACTCTCCGGATTTACGTTTGTTAAGACAATACGACCAGAGAAGTCATCGGTTTCACTCGTGCTCTCATTGTTGTCCACAGGGAAGTCTGTCGTTGTAAATTCAGGTCCAAGTGAGGCCGTGACATTGCGCAGCGTTAATTGCCCATTAATAGGAAGAGTGTTTCCATCCACTCTCCAAAAGGAGCATAGGATCAACAGTAAAAGAGCCGGAACAAGAGTGAGGACAGGAATATATGGAATTTGCACGTAAGCCATTCTCCCACAGTCTGGTCTAATGCTGCAATTATCAAATTCTAAAGTTGGTGGGATTCAAAGTAGCCTTAGCAGCCCAGTTGAGGCAATGCACTTATTCAGCAAATGAGGCCCTATAAAGCTGGTTGCAAAGGGTAAGTAGAATAATATGAAGTGGTACATAATGCGAATATTGACGTATTGAGAGAGAACAAGATCAATTATTCTCCCAATTTTCTGAGTCAATTGATTTTCGAACAGTATCCAAGTATTGGCAACTGTTGTATGACTATTTGTTCAATCGGAGTAATGCAATACTTGGAGTTGTCTAAAGATTTTCAGTACTAATCGTCCATCGAATTGCGTTACTCAGCGAGAAGTGCATCTCAGGCAGTTAAGATAGGGCTATAATGAGCTATCGCATTTATAAAAGATGAAACAAGCTGTCCGGTATGAGCATCAACTTGTAGAATTGTCATGCATAAGGAAAAAAACACATCACAAATCGATGGCCTACGTATTTTGGGCAATATTATATACAATTACTTCCTTGTTGGCCAATGAAAGCGTCTTTTTACAATTTAGTGCCATAAAACAACTAGTCTTTATTCTCATTGATCCAATTAGCATCAAACCTCATAGAGTTACGAAGTTGGTTGACCTTGTTTTCGCAACTTGGTCATATTGGTAGGAAGATTTAGAGGTACGCATCGTCCGGAGTCCATAGTATGCACAACCATTTCCATAGTCGGATCGTGGACGTGGTACATTTCCAGACGTTTCACCGGCATCGTCAGTGAGTCCTGCCATTTTTAAAACCACAATACAACTCGTCAACGAGACAAGTGAAGCCGATTCTTTGACCAAGTGTGTGCTAAACAGTTGTGGTATCTCTTATTCCCTCCTGGGTTATCCACCTTTACTATATCCTCGTATCACTCCTTCACTATCTCCGCCGTGTGTATCCTGTTTCTATCCGTAATATTAAGTCTATAACTTCCTATGATCTTGCGAACCAAACCACAAATGTTGTGGTTCCACTTATTTTGATTAGGCTCACTGTAAACATCTCTTTGCTTCTGATTATTCTATTATGGTCTCCCTGTGGAAAGCCTGATATATGCAAACATGGGAATCAGAGCTTAGGCGCTCTGCTCAGTGAAGCGGCAGTGTACGTGCTTCTAGGGCTTTGAGAAATAGCGTCTGGAGTGAAATGCACACAGGGACTGGAACCGAGTGAAATCGGTTGACCAGAAAGATAAGGAACGGATCTACGAGACAATGAAAGGATCTGGATTGGAGGCCCGAGTCGGATAAGCCCATCGAAAGAGAGGAGTTGGGGTAAATGGCAAGTGTTATGAAGCCACACTAAATTTTCCACAAAAGGGCACACATTTTGACGAGTGGAATGTGAACAAGTCAGAAGTTGTGATATGGCGGGAGTTTAATAAGAGAGTAAAGAGTATATAGATAGGCCTCGACAGAAAGAGGAGTGATAGTGTTTTCGGCATAAAGTTGGTGGAAGGATTGACTTCACTTGTCTCTTTGACGAGTTTGTAGTTTGGTGCGGAGAATGGCAGCACTCACTGGTGATGCTGGCGAAACGTTTGAAAATGTACCGAGTTTACTGTTTGATGCTAGAATCATGACAACTACTATATCAGACGACTTCGGACTAGGTGCGTTCTACCAAGTCGCCCTGACAACAAGACCAAGTTGCGACAACGAGGTCAACCCACACATATAATGCAGACTCTCATCAACATTCCCAGCACAAGGGTGAATGGGGATGAGGGTTATGAGAAAGCCGACGTGGAATGTTGAGAGTTTTCATGAAATCCGCTCAAAAGAGCACAGCATACCACATTTAAATAGGCAAGTAAAAATTATGGTTTTAAAGGCCTGATACGAGGATCTACGATTGGTGAGTAGCCCAAGACAGAATGGGGGATAACACGATTGTTTTGCAGAAAATTGTTCAAAGAATCGGCTTCGTTTGTCCTTTTGGCAAAGCTCACTGACGATGTCGGCGGAAAGTTCGGGAATGTACCGCATCCACAGTGCAACTCTTTACATCATCATGCATACAATGAACTCAAGACTAGGTGCGTTCCTCTAGGCCTTCCTAGCAATATAATCAAGTTGCGAATATAAGGTCAACCAACTTCTATACAACGAAAGGAGACTGTGACCATACGAAAGGCCACGCCATCTTATTCTTCATGCCTTCCCGTAAAGCTTAGTTGAATTGCTCGATAAGTAAAAATCTTCAATTTAATGCGCTTTTACGAATTTCTTTCATTTTTGACACAACTGTTTATATTTGACCTCGCACAGTGTTAATTACTGGAGTATTAACTATCAGCATTCTTGTACTTTAGATCAAAATAGCTTGAAGAACTCCAGGCCTACCATGGCTGTAATCTTGTAGTGCAGTCCTCTCTGGCTGTTCTGAAGCGATCTTTTATTCAGCCCATGGCGTGGTGTTTATACTGCTTAAATCGCACTCCCAACCAGCTCAAACTCCATATCTATCTTCTAAGCACACTCCTATAGTGTGTATTTGCTTCTATTTTTATGCTAAACAAGCTATGTTAACAACATCAATCGCTTCCTCCTAGGCCTTATTTTCAAGCTACTTATCAAAGTTAAATCTGTGCCTTTCTCAATAGTGTACGAGAAACGGCGTTATGGATACAAGCGAGATGATGCGCTTACTCTCTATCACTCCTACGGAGGAAAAACGTCAAATCTTGTACTATAAACACCTTCCATTCATAAGAACTTTTTGGGATCATCCCACCATAAAAATTGATACGCAAAAGGCCTGGTCTTAATTGAAATCCACGTCTGCCCTGTGATCCAGGAACAGTCGTGGTTCTTAATGTGTCGAGGCTATATTCTACATTGCCCAAGTTCGACCCCCCTTTGGGGGTGTTGACGAGGTAGAAACTACAATCAACCCTACATGAGAATTCCCATTTGGAAGCAAGGCTATGTAAAATTAAACGGACGCATGAGGTTTATTCATATAGAAGTTGTTTGACCTTGTTTTCGCAACTTGGTCATATTGGTAGGAAGACTTGTAGGAACGCACCTTGTCCTTAGTCCATTTTATGCATAATTATTTCCAAAGTCGGACGGTGAACGCGGTACATTCCCAAACGTTTCGCCGTCATAGTAGTCGGCATCGTCAGTGCGTCTCGCCATTCGTAGCACCATATTACAACTCGTCAAATGGATAAGTCAAGCCCATCCTTTGACCAATCGTGTGCTAAACAGTTATGATATCTCACCTTCTGCCCTGGCCCATTCACATTTCCTATATCCTTCTATCAGGCCTTACCTGTCACAGTTTTTACCGTGCTTATTCCTAATGTAGTGTCGTGTGCCCCTTTGAGCGGCATTCATGAAAGCGCTTCACACTCCACACTGTCGTTATCACCCCCTTCACCCTTGTGATGGGATTGTTGACCATAGTCTGTCATATTGTTACGTAGTCCTTCCCTGGGTCCTATCAAAGTCTCCCTCTTGCCCC